CCTGCCTCAGCCTCCTGAGCAGCTGGTACTACAGGTGTGCACCACCACACTCAGCTGATTTTTATATTTTTAGTAGAGATGGGGTTTCACCATATTGGTCAGGCTTGTCTTGAACTTCTGACCTCAGGTGATCCTCTCTCCTCGGCCTCCCAAAGTCCTGGGATTACAGGCGTGAGCCACCGCACTAGCCCCGGAGCTCTTAAATATTTTGGAAGGGTTGCCTACTGCTTTTATTTTCTCCAACTTCTTGTATAAGATTGGTGTCATTTATGTCTCAGTTGTGGGAGGAATTTTACCAATTTAATCACCAGATCATAGGATTCACTTATAGGGAGTTTTTACATTATAGATGTAATTTCTTAGTTTTATTTTTCATTAAGTTGGGTTTAATTGGAGTTCTACATTTTACAAAGTTTCAAATTTATTAACATATAATGACTTATATTTTGTCTCTGTTTCCAGATTCTGTAATGATGACATATGTAAATATTTTGTTTATTCCATTCCTGAACAGATCCTTTAATCATAATGAAATGTTCTTCTTTATCTCTAGTTGCCTTCCATTCCTGGAAGGCTATTTTGTTTGGCGTTAATATACACATTCCAGTTTTTTATGCTGAATTTTGCAAATTCTTTTTTATACTATTACTTTAAACTTTACTGTATCTTTCAATTTAAATTGCCTCTCATATAAACAGCAAATAATTGGGACTTGTTTGTTTTCTAGTCTCAAAATCTATTCATTTTAGTTGGAATGTTTGAACTTTTACAAATTAATGTGTTTATTAATATAGTTTGATATCAACTTGACAATTTTGCCATTTATTTTCTATTTTTTCCTTTTTTATTTCTCTATTTCTCCTTTCATGCCTACGTTTGTGTTTATTGAATATTTTTAATTATTCAATTTAATTTCCTCCTTTAAATTTTAGTTTATTGTAAAATTATAAACATGCCCACACATTTTTTACACTCTCTTCCTTCAAGAGAAAGGGTTTATGGCCCCTCCCGGATTCTGGACCAGCTTAGTGACCCTTTTGTAAATAACCTACCGTAACAGTTGTGATGCTAGGTAAATTCCTAAATTTCCAGCCGATCGCCATTAGCAACTCACACCAGCAGAGGGCGCCACTTTAGCCCTTTAGCCTAGTGCTCTTCTCGAATTTTCTTTGTTCTCAATTTTCATCTCGTGAGGATAGCAACATGAATTATAGCTTGTCAAGCAATACATTTTCTCAGGTTTGTTTATGTGGCTGTGTCTTTCAATCACTTGGTAAAGTTAATTTTGCTGGATATAGAATCGGGGTTGGTAGTTTTATTTTTTCTTTCAGCGCTGGGAAGATTCTGCTCCATTTTCTCTGATTGTTTATGGATTCTGTTCAGAAGGAAGCCGAATTTTAAGTCATTGTTTTAGGATAGGTAATATATCTTTATTTCTCAGAAGTTTTCAGTTGGTATACATTTATTAACTTCATTGATATTTTTTATATATAATATAGATACCTAATATGTAGTTTAATAATAAAATATTTTTAAAAGTCCAATACCTATATTGTCAGCCTAATTCCATTTCTGTAAATAAAAATATAGTTTATTTGATTGAAATAACAGCAAAAGCAAAAGAAAATCTCTCATGGGATAAATATCTAGTTTTTATTAAAATGTATAAATATCTACAAATTATATCCAAATAATATAATTTAAGCACTTTCCCAAGAAAAATATAAAAATCGTTTTTATAATTGCTCATTTGTTGTTAATGTTGACATGCATGAGAAAATGTGTGAGAAGAAATTAAAACTCTTTATAAAGAACAATGAAGTGACATTTGTATGATCTATAGCAAAATTATTGCTTTGGCAAATTATATTGCATATCCGAAATGATTTATGTAAATATAATACATATAGGAGTTGATTCAGTAACTGGCAATGTATAGAACATATGTAAAAGTAATGAATATATGCACAGGTTTAATATATAAAATTTTTGTTATGTTAAATATAAATTATAAACCAACAAATGGAAAAGTAAAATTTATCATTTTACATAAAGTAAGCATACATTTTCATTAATGCTATTACCTGTGCATAATAATTAGTGTAAATTAAATAAATAAAAAAATTATCCTTTATCTTGTTACCAAATTATTGAGGGGATATAAAATAGTACTGAATTTTTGGAAATTAATTTGGCATCAACAAAGTAGTTTTTCACCTGCCTTTTTAAAAAATAATTTGCCTTTTAGGACTGTATCCAGTACAGCCACTAACAAATAAACATAAATGTGTGGTTACAAAATTGACAAAAGAGCTACTTTAAAATAAAATATATTGTTTTCATTCTATGGGTATTATGTAGCTATGCAACAAATCTAATAGATCTTATATACTTCCAGATGATATTTCCACAATATATTGCTGGTAAAAAGTAAAGCAAATTATAATTTCACATGTGTGCACATGTATATGCATGTATTATGTAAATGTAAATTTATGTGAATATCTGTTCTTAAACACACTTTACTGATATCATGGTTACTCCTGAGAGGATATATTCATGTGCATTTTTTGAAAATTTTACACTGAGCATAAGGCAAGTGTATAAATAGCAAAAGGAAATTAAAGAAGTAGTCACATAGTGGCATATCACTAGTGATTGTTTTTAAACAACAGTAGTTTTTAAATTTTTTTTCTTTAAAGGTAATATAGATACAGTTAAGAAATCATGCTAAATGGTAGAACTAGAAAACAGTGGAAAATAATAAGAAAAAATATATAAACAAGTTTTGTAGAGAAAATAATTATGACTTACTTTAAAGAAGCTAATCTCTAATTAGTCAGTGAGCTCATTAGACTAAGGACCATAGGAAAAATTACACAAAGAATGCCCTTTTAATTGTTTCATTTGGATTACATTTCAAGTGTGTTATAAAGTTTGATTTATATTTTGGAGTCTCTGTATCAGAAAAAAAGTAGCAATATTCAGGGTTATAATGACTGCTGAATATATAGAAAAAACCTTAAAAATATAACCTTGTCCGGTGGGTTTTTGTGTCGTTTCTTATGAGGTGTATGAACAGTTTATTAAGAATTGCTGTTCTTAGAAAAAAAAGTGTTTGAATGTATGTTATCTATTGATCTTGAAATGTTTACTTATTAGTTTTAGTACATGGCTTATAGATTTCTTTTAGATACTTTGGAAGCATAATTATGCAGTCTGTAGATACACATGAGGTAGATTTCACGGTTTTCAATATTTACGGTTTTTTCTTCTTTTTTTGCATTATTGACCTGACCAAACTTTCCCTAAAATGCTGAATAGAACTGTTGATCGTAGACATCCTTGTTTCTTTTTTCACCTGAAGTTCTTCTGTTTTTCACCACTGATTATATATGCTGCAGTTTTTAATGCTTTTTTTAAAACTGGTAAGTGGCAAATTATATGAAATAGCTTTTCTGTAATTGCTGTCATAGTGACATAATTCCATTTCTTTGTCAAGATTATTTGATTTGAAAACAAAGCAACAAGAATCCATTCTTGTGTTAAAGCCAGTTTGTTCATGGTTAATTACAATTGAAGTATCTTTAGATTCTGTTTGTCAAACATAAAATGTTACTTTTATTTAGTTTTTTTTTTTTTTATTTGTCATTAGGCATACAAACCTTTGGTTTTCCTTTTATATAATATTCTAATTAGTTTGGTATCAAGTTTATAGAGGTCTTATAAAGCATTTTGGGCAGAGTTTTTACTATTTTTCTCCTGTGTAAAGTGGTTGTTCAATATTGGTGTTCTTTAGTTCTTAATTATATGAGAAAGCTCAGGAATTTAGGCACCAACAAAAAATTTATTTGTTGGAAAGTTTCTCTTATAGAGGCACAGTTTTTGATTAGATATAGAATCGTTGAGATTTCCTGGCTTAACTATTTTGCTATATTTTTGTTTCTATCATTTCATGAATTTCAAGTTTATTGGCATAAATTTGCTTATAACATAATCTCCAGTATTCTAGTGATGGTTCCCTCTACATTCCTGCTATTGATGATATATGTTTTTTTTTTTTTAATTATTCCTTTGATCAGTCTTGCCAGGGATTTATTACATTTATTTCCTTTCAAACAGCAACACAATTCTTCATTTGCTATTTAATTTTTTGTGTGTGTGTGTGTGTGTACACATTTAGTTTTATTGTAACAAAGCAACCTGTACACTTTTAACGTTTAAAACTGAGCATCATCTTTCCTTTCCAGTGAAACAAAAAGAAAATTTAAAAATAAACAGGAACAAAATTACAATAGAGAATGTCAATTCCAAATAAGATCCTACAGTTCTGCTGATTCTCCCATTGAGTGGCAGGGCTCAAGTCATCATTAGGAGAGAATTTATTTTAAAAGCGTCATCTTAAACTGCAAGGATGTCTGTCAAATGTCACAATTAAACATGCCAAAGGAGAAGCCATGTTGTCAAAATGCCCACTTACCCCACCCAAACATCTCAAACCCACCCTTTGCTGACCTTCTATAACCCCATTTTTTTAAGATTTTTTTCTTTTTTTAAACAAGAGAAAGTAGACAGATACATGTTGGTAAATGCTAACTGTCCATATTCACATAGAGACACAGTGTACTCTCTGAGACCAATATACAGAGAAAGGAGGAGAAAAGCTAGAATTCTATGCACTACTACAAAGGGGCCTAGCACCCTCCAGCTTCCAGCAGAGCGAAGGGAGCAGGTTTTTCTTTTTTCCCACAGAGCTTGGTGGTGGTGATTCCATACAGTTTTTGTTAAGACAGGAAGGGATAAAATGAATTTCAAACAGAAAGGGGTAGAGACTCTTTTTCCCATTGTATCCTGCTCAAGATATTTCCCCCAAAATAAGTTGAGAACCATGGTGTAGAGAAAAGAGACCGCAAAAACAGGGTGACCGAGCACAAGAGGGAAGAAAAAAAAAAAAAAAGACTGCAACTTGCTCCCAGGGACTGGAGAAAATTTAAAAAAAGGAAGATTGGAATCCAATAGACAGACTTAATGAACAAGCCAGTGAGGAGATTTTGAAAGTAGAACAGAAATATAACAAACTCCGCCAACTATTTTTTCAGAAGAGGTCAGAATTGATCGCCAAAATCCCAAATTTTTGGGTAACAACATTTGAAAACCATCCACAAGTGTCTGCCCTGCTTGGGGAGGAGGACGAAGAGGCACTGCATTATTTGACCAGAGTTGAAGTGACAGAATTTGAAGATATTAAATCAGGTTACAGAATAGATTTTTATTTTGATGAAAATCCTTACTTTGAAAATAAAGTTCTCTCCAAAGAATTTCATCTGAATGAGAGTGGTGATCCATCTTCAAAGTCCACTGAAATCAAATGGAAATTTGGAAAGGATTTGATGAAACGTTCAAGTCAAACGCAGAATAAAGCCAGCAGGAAGAGGCAGCATGAGGAACCAGAGAGCTTCTTTACCTGGTTTACTGACCATTCTGATGCAGGTGCTGATGAATTAGGAGAGGTCATCAAAGATGATATTTGGCCAAACCCATTACAACACTACTTGGTTCCTGATAAGGATGATGAAGAAGGAGAAGGAGAAGATGATGATGATGATGATGATGATGAAGAGGAGGAAGGATTAGAAGATATCGATGAAGAAGGGGATGAGGATGAAGGTGAAGAAGATGAAGATGATGATGAAGGGGAGGAAGGAGAGGAGGATGAAGGCAAAGATGACTAATATTTTTTTTTAGATTTCATTAACTGATATCAGTTTTAATTTTTATGTTTAAAGTTTTGATTTTATTTTCTGATGTATTTTCTAATTTCATGCAGTGTATTCTCAAATCTAAATTTTTAGGATATTATCTTTGTCATTAATGCTCTAAATTTTCGTTTAGTCACGTATTTTGGTACATAGTACACAGTTTTTAACAGCTTAAAGTATAATTGATTTCAAATAAGCTACACAATATATGTATTTGTGTGTGTGTGTGTGTGTGTGTGTGTGTGTGTGTGAGAGAGAGAGAGAGAGAGAGAGAGAGAATGAGAGAAGCCATCTCTACACTTAAAATTATGAACATATTTATCCATCTCCCCAGATTTCCTTGTGCACTTTTGGATTTCCTCTTCCTAATTTTCCCTGAGCTCTCCCCACTTTCCCATACTGTGGACATTCTTTATTGATATTAACTTCAACTTTTATTTTAGATACAGGAGGTACATGTTCAGGTTTGTTACATGGGAATATTTTGTGATGCTGAAGACATCACACAATCTCATCATGTACAGATCTCATCATGTAGGTAGTGATCATAGTACTAGATAGGTATTTTTTAAACTCACCCCCTCCTTCTCCCTCCACCTGCTAGTAGTCTTCAATGTCTATTGTTCCCACATTGATGTCCATGTGTGCTCAACTACACACACAGAAACACACACATGCATATATTAAATTGTGCAGTTTATCTGAAATCAATTATCCCTCAATGAAGCTGTTAAAAACGGTGTGCTATGTACCAAAATGTATCTAAAGGAAAATTTAGAGCATTAATGCTGAAGATAAAATCCTGAAAATTAAAGATTAGAGAATACATTTTTTTGAAATTACAAAATAAATTCAAAGTTAAAATCAAGTGTTTAGCTCCCACTTATACATGAGAACATACGGTATTTGATTTTCTGTTCTTGTGTTAATTCACTTAGGATTTTGGCCTCCAATTCCATTCATGTTGGTGCAAATAATATTATTTCATTACGTTTTATGTCTGCATAGTATTTTATGGTGTACATGTACCACATTTTGTTTATCTAGCCTGCAATTGATGGGCACCTAGGTGGATTTCATGTCTTTGCTATTGTGAATAGTGCAGCGATGAACATGTGAATGCATGTCTTTTTTGGTAGAATGATTTATTTTCCTTTGAGTATATACCCGGTAATAGGAATACTGGGTTGGATACTAGCTCTGTTTTCAGTTCTTTGAGAAATCTCCAGACTGCTTTCCACAATGGCTGTACTAATTTACATTCTCACCAACAGTGTAAAAGTGTTTTCTTTTCTCCACAGCCTGGCCAGCATCTGTTGTTTTTTTGACTTTTTAATAACAGACATTCTGACTTGTGTGTTACATTATCTCATTGTGGTTTTTATTTGCAGCTCTCTGATAATTAGTGATGTTGAGCAATTTTTCATATGTTTGTTAGCTGTGCATATGTCTTCTTTTGAGAAGTATCTCTTCACGTCTTTTGTCCATTTTTTAATGTGGTTATTTGTGTTTTGCTTGTTGATTTGTTTAGATTCCTTACAGATTCTGCATATTAGGCCTTGGCTGGATGCATAGTTTATGAATATCTTCTCCCATTCTGTAGGTTGCCTGCTCTGTTGGTAGTTTCTTTTGCTGTGCAGAAGCTCTTTGGTTTAATTAGGTTTCACTTGTCTATTTTCGCCTTTGCTGCAATTGCTTTTGGGGACTTAGCCAAAAATTCTTTGCCAAGGCTGATGTCGAGAAGAGTATTTCCTTGGATGTCTTCCAGGATTTTTATAGTTTGAGGTCTTACATTTAAATCTTTAATTCATTCTGAATTAAATTTTGTATGTAATGAAAGGTAGGGGCCCAGCTTCCATCTTCTGCATATGGCCAGCTAGTTATTCCGGCACCATTTATTGAATGTCCATTGCTTCATCCCTTGTTTCTGTTGGTCTTGTCAAAGATCAGATGGCTGTAGGTGTGTGGTTTATGTTTCTGAGTTTTCTATTCCATTCCATTAGGTCTATGTGTCTGTTTTTGTACCAGTACTAAGCTGTTTTGGTTACCTTAGCTTTATAGTATAGTATAGAACCAAAAAGAGCCCGAATAGTCAAAGCAATTGTAACCAAAAGGAAAAAAGCTGGAAGCATACATACCCAACTTAAAACTATACCATGGAAATTCTTGTATGAGTGTTTTTGTGAATGTATAATTTCATTTTTCTTGGATAAGGTTCAAGGAGTGGAATGGCTGGATCATGTGAGAAGTGTACTTTAAAGTTGTTTTAGAGTAAGTCAATATGTTTTGCAACATAATTATACCATTTTACATCCTACCAATATTTTGAGAGTCACAGTTGCTTTCCATACTTGCCAGGACTTGTTTTAGTCAATATATTTAATTGTAACTCTTCTAATAGGTGTGCAGTGGAATCTCACTGTTGCTCTAAATTGTATGGTATACACAAGTCATCACTCTTTCCTTGCAAGTTATTCCCAGTAAGTGGAGAAAATGGATTACAAGCCTGATGTGAATCTTTTGTTTCCCATTTATGCTTTTGCCTATATGGTTATTTTTTAATGTATGCTGGATTTTCTGTGTGAAATACCATAGAAATAATTGGAAGTTTTGAAAAATTTTTTTCTTTTTAGTGAGCTTTTGCTTCTAAGAGACAGTTAGCATATGGGCAGCTGTCATAGCAATCAGGGATATTCCTTTTGAAGCTGCATCTCAGATTTTGTGAGATGTTTTTTATTTCTGTCTCCTATCAACATTTAGGACATAGACTCTCAGGGATGCCACATGAACCCCTGGGTTGTCTCCTTTTTCTTTCTCCTTGGTGCACTTTCAGCTTTGGTATGTGTCCCCGGAGTTTTTGAGACTACTAAAATCCCTGCTCAGCTGCATAGTTTCTAAACTACAGCTTTGTGGTTATATCTTGGCTTCTCAATCACCTCCTTTGAGTTAGCATATATTTCTGGGGAAAAGAGGTACCAAATTTGGGTCTCAACCATTGGGCTTCTCTTTTGAGATCTTGTCTCATCAAGTGGTTGCCTCCTTGGGTTAGTAGTGCCTTTAAATAATGTCTTTAATATCTTCCAGCTTTCCTAGTTTTTCTCAGCAAAATGGTTTGTCTAATAGAGCTTCTCAGTCATCCCTGAAAACAGATCCATGTATTCTCCTTTTTGAAATAAATTTGTTTTTCCTCTTATGCCTAATTAACCCAATCTTTATATCAATAATATTAACAATTTTCTTAAAAGGCAAATACTTTTCTGAAAAGTATATCTTTTCTGTCTTTTTTTTTGAGGCAGAGTCTCGCTCTGTTGCTCAGACTGGAGTGCAGTGGCACGATCTTGGCTCATCGCAACTTCCCTCTCCTGGGTTCAAGCGATTCTCGTGTCTTTATTTGCTTTATGTTAGATTTTTTTTCATTGATTGCCTAAGTGTTTCCTCAGTTCCCAACATGTGCCAGATATGAATTACATGGTAGAGGTACATTATTGAGGCACAGCCCAGTGGAAAACAAACAAGTAAATATATATTATATAATATAAATTTTGTGGTAATTTTAAAAGTTACGTTAATAACCAAAATGTTTCCTGGTACTTTTTTTTTGTTATGTTTACTGGTTGCTCTAGGGATTGGCATATGAATCCTTTACTTATCTTGGTCTACTTACAGTTAAGAAAGCACTAATTTACGTAAATGAAACCTCACAGCAGAAAAACTACTTTTATCCCTGCCTTTTCTTTGTGGCCTTTTTGTCACGTTTTACTTAAACATTTTATTGAAAACTTGATAATTATTTTTTTCCTTTCATTTTATTGAATGAGGCAATTGTATATTCAGTGAAATGCACAGATTTTAAGCTAACATATTTTTTAATTTTAAAAAGTGGTTTCCTTTTGTTTTTAAAGCATATTTATTATAGCTATTTTGAAGCCTGTCTGCTACTCAAACATTTTAATCTCTACAAAGGCAGTCTCTGTTGTTTGTCTTGTGTCCTATATATTTGTCACACTTTCCTTTTTTTTTCAATGTCTCATAGTTTTAGAATTTTTATTTTGTTGTTGTTAAGTATTGGACATATTAGGTAATATATTAAATCTTGAGATTTATTCCTCATCTGATTTATTGTTGTTGTTTTACTGTTTATTTGTTGACAAGACTGGACTCATTTTGTGAAGTCTATTTTCACTAGAATGTGCAGCTTCTGATACCCTTGTTTAGATTTTTCCTCAGGTTTTCATCTTTTAGCGTGGTTCCCTTGGCATCCTCCTCTGTCAGTATCATTAATGAAAGGTTGTACGTAAGCCTCTGAACAAAAAGATGTTCCTCCCTTACCTTTGGATCTGTTTGTGGCTTAGAAACTGTTTTTATGATTCTGGGTTCAAAATTGTTATCTTGTTTCTCAGCATTGGAAAGATGCTATACCATTTTTCCAGTTCGGATTCTGTTGAGAAGGCAGCCATCATTTAAACCATTGTGCATGGATTTGTATTCCACATTTTTTGAAGTTTTTGGTCGATATACATTCGTTCATTTCATTAATATTATTTATATTTCATATAGATGTCAAATGTATAGTTTGCTAAGAAAATATTTGAAAAATTTCAATTAAATTATTCCATTTAGGCAAATAAAAAGAATTTAGCTAGCTGACACTGGCAATACAGAAAAGGAAAATAAAAAATATATAGCTGGTATGAAAAACAACAAAAGCCAAAAAGCCAAAAATTTACCTCATATTTAAAACATAAAGATATCTGCACATATTTCCCAAAAATTAAAAAATGAGCACATTCCCAAATAACATGGTTTGTTATTTTTGCTAATTTGATATTACTTGTGATTTAAATGAGAAATGTAATGAGAAACACCAACCTCTTGATGAAGAATGATGAAGTGATAATTGTATTGCCTATTACAAAATATTTTTTGTCTAGAGCTATTATATAACATATAATAACATCATGTTTTGACAAAAC